TGTAAAAGGCCACAGGGGGCGTGCCTTGAAAGGGGCGGGGCCGAAAGGGCCTGGGGGCGGGTCTTAAGGGGGATGAGGCCTGAGATAAGCTGGGGCCAAAGGGGCGTGACCGGCAAAAGAGCCGGGGGCAAAGCTTAAAGGGAATTGGATAGAGAGGGTGGTTATCAGTACAAGAACAGACCTGCCCCCTCCGAAGAAAAGGGTGCAAAACACCAAAAAGGTAAATTTTGTAAAGGCTCACAAGCAAATGGGAAATTCCGAGGGAGGCACCCTACTCTGGAAGATCATGTTTTTCTTTAATCTCCAAGGAAAGAACACTGGATTTGGAGTTAGGACACCTATGTTTGCTGGTGCTGCCACTTACTAGCTGTGTGACCATGAATAATCTCTTAATCTTTCTTGGCCTCAGTTTCCTCATCTATGGAATGGGGTTGAGAGGAATATCTACCTCACAGTGTTGTGGGGAGTTACTCAGATAATGGGTGTGTGAACATGCTTTTGAACTGTAAAGGACTGTTTCATTGTGAGATGTTATCATTCTTCTCTTTTTTCCTTCCCAGAGACCCCCCCGGCCGCCCTCCTTCCCTTGTTCCTGTGGCTGGGGGGGGTACCCCCTCCCTCCACACCATGGAGCCATCTCCTCTGTCTCCAAGTGGGGCAGCAGTCTCCCTGCCTCTGTCGCTGGCCCCGCCCCCACTGCCCCTGCCTGCAGCTGCAGTGGTACACGTGTCCTTCCCTGAAGTAACCAGTGCCCTCTTGGAGTCCCTCAATCAGCAGCGGCTACAGGGCCAGCTCTGTGATGTGTCCATCCGAGTGCAGGGCCGGGAGTTCAGGGCTCATCGCGCTGTCCTGGCTGCCTCCTCCCCATACTTCCACGACCAAGTCCTGCTCAAGGGCATGACTTCCATCTCGCTGCCCAGCGTCATGGACCCAGGAGCCTTTGAGACTGTCCTGGCTTCAGCTTACACTGGCCGCCTCAGCATGGCTGCTGCTGATATTGTCAACTTCCTCACAGTGGGTTCTGTGCTCCAAATGTGGCACATTGTGGATAAATGCACTGAACTCCTTCGTGAAGGCCGGGCCTCGGCCACCACTACCACCATCACCACTGCTGCAGCCACCTCAGTCACTGTCCCTGGTGCTGGGGTCCCATCAGGAAGTGGGAGCACTGTGGCCCCTTCCACCATGGGCTCTGTGCGCTCCCATGCCTCCAGTCGGGCCAGTGAGAATCAGTCACCCAGCAGCAGCAACTACTTCAGCCCCCGAGAGTCCACTGACTTCTCATCTTCCTCCCAAGAGGCATTTGCAGCTTCTGCAGTGGGCAATGGGGAGCGTCGAGGAGGTGGCCCTATATTCCCAGCCCCTGTGGTTGGCAATGAGGGGGCTACCTCTGGGAAGCTGCTGCTGGAAGCAGATGAGCTGTGCGATGATGGTGGGGATGGGAGGAGTGCAGTGGTTCCTGGGGCTGGGCTCCGGCGTTCCACCTATGCACCCCCCAGCATCATGCCACAGAAACACTGGGTATATGTGAAGCGGGGTGGAAACTGCCCAGCACCAGCGCCCCTGGGTTCCCAAGACCAAGATCTGGAAGAGGATGAGGAGGAGGAAGACCTGGTGTTAACCTGTGAAGATGATGAAGATGAGGAGCTAGGGGGTGGCTCCCGGGTTCCAGCAGGGGGAGGAGCTGAGGCTACCCTTAGCATAAGTGATGTCCGGACCCTGACTGAGCCTCCCAGCAAGGGAGAGGAGCAGGTCAATTTCTGTGAGTCCTCCAATGACTTTGGCCCCTATGAGAGTGGGGGTCCTGGAACAGGGCTTGATGATTCCGGGGGGCCCACCCCTTCCACCTATGCCCCCTCCCACCCACCACGGCCCCTGCTTCCTGTGGATATGCAGGGCAACCAGATCCTAGTCTTCCCATCATCTTCGTCCTCGCAGGCTCCAGGCCAGCCACCAGGGAATCAAGCCGAACATGGGGCAGTGACCCTGGGGGGCATATCCACAGGGGGCCTGGGCATGCAGGGTGGTGCTGTTGGGACCCCTGGAGGGACAGGCAGTGGGGATGGGAATAAGATCTTTCTGTGCCACTGCGGGAAGGCCTTCTCTCACAAGAGCATGAGAGATCGTCATGTGAACATGCACCTCAACCTGCGGCCCTTTGACTGCCCCGTGTGCAACAAAAAGTTCAAGATGAAGCACCATCTGACTGAGCACATGAAGACGCACACAGGCCTCAAGCCCTACGAATGCAGCGTCTGCGCCAAGAAGTTCATGTGGAGAGATAGCTTCATGCGCCACCGAGGACACTGTGAGCGCAGGCACCGCCTGGGCGGGGGCGGGGCCGGACCAGGGCCTGGGGGGCCCACTGGGCCAGCCTTGCCACCCAAGAGAGAGTCCCCCGGGATGGGCGGGGGCAAAGGCGACGAGGCGGGTGGGGCCACGCCGCCGTCCAGCCGTCGGGTCTGGTCCCCACCCAGCCTCCACAAAGCGGAGATGGGCTTTAGTGGGGGCGGAGGAGCAAACTGAATGGGGCAGGCTACTGGGGGTAGCTTTCAGGGAAGAAGAAAGGGAGTACGAGCCAGAAGCGCTGTGGCCCCCAGGTAATCTCTCACCACGGCTGTTTTCCTTATCTCTCTGCACTTGTATATATTCTGGAGGGCGAACCATATTGTGCCACCGACCACCCCATTCCACTCCTCAGCTCCTCCCCTCAAAGTATCCCTGGAACTAAGCCCTTCCTTTCCCTCAAATGGGTACCCTAAAGCCCCAGCTCCAGAGTAGGGTGCATATGGTGGGGGGAGGGAGAGGGTACCTGTTAAGCATCCTGGAGTCACAGGATCAAGGATCAGGTGGTCGTAGTCTGTACCTGAAGTCTGTGTTTGTGTTGTTGTAGGGACCAGGCCTTTGAGCCCCACCCTTGTCCTAGAACCCACCCCACTCCTCCCTCCCCAGGATGTGCCCCTTATTTCTACCCCAATCTCTCCCCCACCTTGGGGTCCCTCAACTCTATTCTCTTTAGGGAGTAAGTCGTAGGAGTACAAGGTTTTTATTTTAAATCATATTTTTTTTAAACGGTAATTAAAATATTTATTGGTCATTGCACTTGGCTTGCCGACAACCCCTATGTGTTTGCTGGGGACCTGGCACAGGTGGGGGAAGGAGGAGTAATGGTTCTCTATGAAGTGGATTCTAGAAGGAGAAGACGGGAGAGCTGGGGAAGACTGTGGGACTCGGCGGTGTTGGGTAGTTCCGGTAGGGCGGGGCGCGGCCGAGGTCCCCAGACCAGAACTGGAGAGGATATTCGGGATCCCTACTCCGCTAGTGGAGAAAGGACCTGCCTCCCACGCACCCTCACCTAACCAGAGCGGGGATTTCTATGGCCCCTCCTGCTGGCTTTTTGAAGAAAGCGAAAGTGAAAGAGGGAAGAAGACTGAGGAGATCGCGGCGCCATGAAGCACCTGTCCCTGCTCCTCGCTCTGGCTTTGGGTGAGCGAACCCTGCGACTCTGCCCTGGAACAGAACTGGGGAGAAGTGGAGGGAGGTGACCCTGTCACGTGTCCGACGCTGGCGAGGGGATGGGGGTGGGTTTCGGGTCACCAGACTTCTGAACCACCTCCTCACTCGTGCCCCTCTCCCCCAGGCTTGGTGACCGCCGTCTCGGCGGGACCCACGGTGATAGAATGCTGGTTCGTGGAGGATGCAGACGGGGGCCGCCTGGCCAAGAAACCCGCTGCATTGCTGCTGCGCCAGGGCCCAGGGAGAATACCTCCCCGGCCGGACCTCGACCCCAAGCGCTACCTCAGAGTACATGGTGAGTCTTCCCGGACTCGCCCCAACTCTGTCACTTCCACCGGAAACCTTCTCCTCTGTAGGTCGCTCGGTGACCTCGGGCCTCGCTTTCCTCCTCTGTTAAAAGTCCAGATTACCTCTAAATCTCTCCCTGCCGGGTCACGTGTGTATTCCCTGGACGCTGCCCTCCGCGCTCCTTTCCTAGCGGTGACTCTACAGCTCCAATCCACTTCTCCATGCTCACAGACCCCACAGGCACCCTGCAGGCTGCCTTCAGGCGGTACCCCCGGAGCGCCCCCACGCCACACTGCGAGATGAGCCATTACATCCCACTCCCCGCCTCTGTGAATTGGGTCAAAGGCCTGACTCCGGAGCAGAGCTGCCCGCGGGCCTTGGACGGGACTTGGTTCATGGTCAGCATGTCCAGCCCGGTCCTCAGCCTCTCCAGCCTCCTACAATCACAGACCGAGCCTCAGCCAGATCCTGGACTCATCACCATGGCAACAGGTAGCTAAGCTGGGACTGGGGAGTGGAATTGAATGGGTGGGTTCTAAGGGTCAAGATCAGCCAGCGACTGCTTTGTGGACTTCAGCGAATCATTTCCCCAATCCGAGTTCAATTTCCTTATTTTGGTTTTAAATTTCCTTATTTGTAAAGCAAGTGAGTTTGGTTAGAAGGAAACAATCTCTTACGCTTCTTCTACCCCCGATCAATTAAAACAAAACAAAACAGAACAAAACAGAACAAAAAACCCTGAGGTTTGGGGGCGGGGCTTCCTGGTGTTCCTAAGGGTGAAGCTTTGGAGAGAGGCGGGGTTTCCAGACTGCCAACCTTGAGAAAGTTGTAAGGCAAATGCGATTGGGAGGGGCTCAGAAGCAGGAACACCCCCTCACCCCACCCCAGGTCTGTGTCTTGCTAGGCATCCCCACCTTTGCTGTTAACCCTGTGTCAAAAATCATCCTTCGGGCCTCACTCGTGCCCACATCCAGTGCTACGGCTGCAAAACAAAGGCTCTTGAGCTCAAGCGCGTTGACCTTCCTGACAGCCCCTTCGTTATGACGCGTGGGCATGTGCTAACTCTGTGGTCACCAAACGCTGGGCTTGAGTGGGCGGAAGGGACACGGCGGGAGACCAGATGGCTCCCACTGCAAGGCCTGCTTATGGCATCCGGCAGCATGGTTTGAGGCTTAGAGGTCCGGTACTTGGCTGGGCTGGAGCTCAGGGAGGAAGCAGGCAGATAAAGCAAGAATAGGAAAGATCTGACTGGGATATCTATGAGCTTACCCTCCTGGCAACAGAGGATGGGAGTATATGAGCAGAGTCCTTGGCTTCCTTCAGTTTGAGATCTCTATATAAACAGCACAGCGTGACCGTATGGTCAATCACAGCCTAATCCTGCACCCTCCCTTCCCCAGTACCTTCTCCCTGCCACCCTCCTCACTGAGCGAGAATCACCCGCAGGACCAGGGGACCGACTCTGCACCAGCCTCTGCCTACATCTCTATTCTTGCTCCCCATACCCCACCTTGGCCAGGGGCAGAAACAAACTGCCCTTGGGTACAGTAGCTCAGGTGGGGAGGAGTATTTCCCAGGGCTACTGGTTTCACCAGAGTGGGAATGAGAATGTCCTTTTCTCTCGAGTCTGTTTTTCCTGCTGTAAAATGTGGATACTATTTCCCATCTGCCTTTTGGTTGTTGTGACTACCAAGGGAGATACTTTGTTAATTTATTCACTGACTCAATAAATATTAGCACTAAGAACATATTAGGGCCTGATAGTTCTCAGTCCAGGCTACAAATAGGAATCCTCTTGGAAGTTTCTAAAATATACTGAAAGCTGGACCTCATTCCAGGCAGATTAAATCAGAATCACTGGGATGGCCCTGAGCCCCTTAAGGGTCACAAAAGTGATCAGACATAGATTCTGCTCTCAAAAAGGTTCTTGGCAGACGTCATGGATAATTGTAGATACAAAGCCAGTTGGGCCCAGAAAGAAGTACAGCCAGGGCAGTGTCCAGGATTTTGCATCTCACAGACTACTGGGAGTAAAGACTAGTTGCTGTGTGCAGTCTTCCTTTTCCAGCATTTTTGCTTAATTAGGGATTTAAAAGAATGAAAGTTGTTTTAATGTAAAATTAAAAATGGACTCTTTCCAGGGTTACAGATCATTGATAATTATACTAATATATACTTATACATTATTTCTTATCAAATACTTTAAAATGTTTGTTGACAGATATACTTTATTAACATACTCCGTGTATATGATATTTAATTCTTATAATTCCTGTAAAACATTGTTATGGAAAATTTCAAAGACAGACACAAGGAGAGAGAATAGTATAATGAATCCCCATATACCCATCACCCACTCATATAGTTATTACATTTTACCAAATTGTTTCATCTATCTTGTCATCCCACCTTTCCTTTTTTTGAAGTTTTAAAGATCCCAGACATCATATTATTTTACTCATAAGTAATACAGACAGCAACTTTATTAAATAAGGACTTTAAAGAACAAATGAAAATACCATTATCTTACCTAACAAAAAATTCCTTAATATCATTTAGTTCCTAGCCCATATTAAAAATTTCCCAATTTTTCCAATGATGTTATTTTACAGTTTATTTGCCCAAATAGAGATCAAAAATAGGCCCATATATTATATTTGGTTGTTGTAGCTGCTTGTGCTGCCATAACAAAATATAGACTGAGTGTCTTAAACAATAGGAATTTATTTTCTCACAGTTCTGGAGGCTAGAAGTCCAAGATCAAGTCCAAGGTGCTAGCAAGTTTGGTGTCTGGTGAGAGCTCTCCCTTTGTGGCTGTTTCCTCACAGGAGGAGAGAGAGCTCTGGTGTTTTTCTTCTTATAAGAGCATCAGCTCTATCGGATTAGGGCCCTACCTTTATGACATCATTTAACCTTTCGCACCTCCTCATAGCTCCTATCTCCACATATAGTCACATTTCGGGTTAAGGCTTCAACAGACAAATTTGGGAGAAGGGGAGAGACCACAGACATTCAGTCCATAACAGTTTTGTCTCTTAAATCTCTTTTATTCCATAATTGTGCTCCCTCCCCCGCCCCCCCCCCCTCACTGCTGTTGATTTCTCATTTGTTCTAGAGAATTTCTCACATTCTATTTTTGGCCAGTTGTTTCCTCATTGTGTCACTTCCCTTGTTCCTTTTTCTCTATATTTCCTATAAATTGATAATTAGACCTAAAGGCTTGATTTGATTTGGATTTAAATTTTTTTCAGTAATAATAGTTGTTACCATTAATTGTTTAACAGAAAAGCAAAAACCTTTTTCTCTGTATTTCCTATAAATTGATAATTAGACCTAAAGGCTTGATTTGATTTGGATTTAAATATTTTTCAGTAATAATAATAGTTACCATTAACTGTTCAACAGAAAAGCAAAAACCTATATGATACAAGCTGCAAAAACAGACAGAAATTTCCTTTCTGTTCTGGCCCTGCTGTATTTACACGTGTATTTTTGGAGTCCAGTTTGTGGGCTGCAGGTCTAAAATTGCCTCAATAACCCACACTAAAGAGCGCAGTTAGCTTAAGGGTTAAATTGTAAAACCTCTAGGTTTTATTTATTAATCTTGTGGATTGTTTTTAACAATTCAAAAGTATGTTTCTAGTTTTTGATAAAATAAGTGACATCGCCTACTTTTTTTACTGTACTGAACAGAAACAATCCTATGAGATTGAAAGAAGTTTAACCTTGTAGGTCTCAGAAGCTAGGATTAGAAATCACATACAGATAATCACAAGAGAAAAATATTACTTCCACCTGGAGGAACCCAGATATTTCTGGGAGGAAGTAGCAATGGAACTGACCTTGAGGGACATGGAGTATTTAGATGTTTGGGAGGAAGTGGGGAGGGACATTGGAAGCTAAAGGAAACTTATGATCAAAATGAAGGAATGCCCAATGATTAGAGTTTCTGCTAGTTGCAAGAAAGGGATTCTATGTGGCTGGTTCTTAGGGTGCAAGAGAAATCTGGCAAGGTGAGTTGGGGGTTGAATTATCGAGTACCCTGAAAGCTGGGCTTCGTGATAGTGAACCATCAGAAGTATTTTTGTGTATGTGCCCCATTTTTCCAAAGAGCCTAATTCTTACAAAAAGTAGGCAAGGATAAGATCATTGGACTAATGAGGCAAATACAGATTAAATGATTTTCCCAGGATACCCAGTGATGATGATGATGATGATGATGATGGTAACAAAAATAGTAATGGCTAACATTTATCGAGCATTTTCTATCTGTCAGGTCCTTTTCTAAGTACTTTATAGTCATAATCACACCTATTCCTCTCAGCAACCATAGGAACTACATACTGATATTATCCCCATGTCACAGATGAAGAAGTCTGAGACACAGAGCAGTTAGTTAACTTGCCAGAGGATGCACAGCTTGTAAGAAGCAGGGCTAGGAATTGAACCTGGGCCATCTAGCTCCAGTCTGTGCCTTTAGTTGCTGGTTTCCAAGGTAGCTAGGATTTTTAAACAGACAACTGACTGGATCAGATTTGTAGCTGGCTACAGTGTGAAGGATGAATTGAAGGAGAGAGAGATAGAGGATAGAGAAACCAGAGAGGAGGCTATTGTAATTGTCCAAATGTACATTGATGAGAACTTGAGTTGGAAACAGATGTCAGATCTATTTGGGAGACAGAATTAAGACCTGGTGGGATAGTACATAGCATATTTCACAATTTGCTCGTCTGTCTCCCTTATTAGACTGTAAGCAATTTGAGGGCAGGGATTGCCCATCTTGTTCACCAGTCTGTCCTCTACCTTGAACATCCTAGGTGTTCAGTAAATATTAGTTGAATGAATGAATTAGAGGAAAGAGTCTTATGACTCCAGATGTTTGCCTTTAGTGCCTGGCGGTGGGTTGGGGGAGGCACGGCGGTGGGGAGGGGTGGTGACCATTTATCAAGGCAGAGAGGATGGGCATTGGAGCCAGGTTGGGGATGTTACTGAGATGCTGTCGAGTTGGGGCATGTTAAGTCTAGCAGATGGTTAAGTGTAATCACAGCAAACACTTTTGTAGACTTACCATGTTCTAGGCACTGTTCTAAGTGCCTTTCATATGTAGGTGTCTTTAGAATCAGAAACTGAATAAATGCAGGAAGCAAGAGGGATTCAATAATTTAACCTTCATTACAACCCCATGAAATAGGTACTAGCATCATCATTATTATCTCTAGGAGATTAAGAAGTAGAGCCATGAAAAAGTGAAGTAACTGGCCCACATAAATAGCTTCAGAGTTGGAATTAACCAGGGCAGCCAGGTTCCAGGCACTTAATCAGCATAAGTTGCCTCCCTAGAGAATAGAAGTTGGTGTTCAGGTCTAGGCCAGAGCCAGAATCTTCCAGAGTCAGTAAATACTCTGTAGCACCATAGGATCAACAGTCATAAGTCATTACTGTCCTTGAAAGCAAATTAAGAAAGGCCTAGCTCTTTAAGGGTGGTGCATGGAGAATAGAGGTTGGTGTTCAGGCTGTGTCAGAAGTACATTCAGATCCCACTGTCCCCAGAGCTCAAGTGGACCGTGTTCAGAGCACTCTGCAAGGGCTATACCTACTCCCAGCTCCTATTTACCTCTAGACCTCTCCCTCAGCCACACCGGGTCTCACACAGTCCCAGAGCAAAAGCGATTTGCTGGGAGGGCTGAGAGATGGTGTATCTCAGTAAAGGAGGTGTCCTCTGAGGGGTAGGTAAATTGGAGTTGAGTCGTCCCTATAACTCCATTTATTTTTTTTCTCCTTTCTCTCCCTCATGCCCCTCCCACCCCCTCCTCTCCCCATCTTCCCTAGCTGTGCTGACTGTCATCACCCACAACCCCACCACTAGAATCCAGCTGGGACAAGATGCTCTGCTGGACTTGAGCTTTGCTTACATGCCCTCCACCCCAGAGGCCACTACACCTCTGGCCCCAGGTCCCCCTCCCTTTGGGCTGGAGTGGCGACACCAGCACCTAGGGGAGGGGCACCTGCTCCTGGCTGCAACTCCTGGGCTGCGTGGGCAAATGCCAGCTGCCCGAGATGGGGCAGTGGCATTTGCCGCTTGGGATGATGATGAGTCATGGGGTCCATGGACTGGAAATGGGACCCTCTGGCTGCCTGCAGTGAAGCCTTCCCAGGAGGGTGCCTATCAGGCCACCATATACCTGCCATATCTGCAAGGACAGGTCACCCTGGAGCTTGCTGTGCAGAGTGAGTTGGGGGAAAGGGATCCCCATGGGTAGAGGGTAGGCACTGGGATTATGGGGACACGATGGCAGGAGGGATGGTAGAGAAGAGAGTGCTGGGTGAGTGGGAGGGAGATAGGTTGGGGTCCCTGGGAATCAGAGCTGCAATGGATAGAGTTCCAGGGAATCTGAGGGGATTTGGGATGAAAATTCCCAAATCTGAGCGGATAGGGGTCCCTGAGAACTGGGGCATGGCATGAAGATTCCTGTGATGCACCAATGGGGAGACAGTAGGTTCCCTATCTTGGGAAAAGAAACCCAGGCTCTGCCCTCTCAGTTTTCGGGAAGCCAGAGAGCAAACTAAGGGTCTCTGAGGGAGGATAATGTGGATTGATTCACCCATGCTCCTTTTTCTACTCTCTTCCCAGAATCCCCCAAAGTGTCCCTGATGCCATCACCTCTTGTATGGGCTGCCCCTGGGGAGGCACCCCCTGAGCTAGTTTGCCTTGTGTCCCACTTCTACCCCTCTGAGGGCCTGGAGGTGGAGTGGGAGCTCCGAGGTGGTCCAGAGGGGAGCTTTCAGAAGGCCAAGGGGCAGAGTTGGCTCTCAGCCCTGCACCACCACTTGGATGGCTCTGTCAGCCTCTCTGGGCACCTGCAGCCATCCCCGGTCACCACTGCACAGCACGGGGCGCGCTATGCCTGTCGTGTCCACCACCCCAGCCTACCCGCATTGGGGCGCAGTGCTGAAGTCACCCTGGAGGTGGCAGGTAAAGTCTGGAGAATTAAGAAAGGGTGTTGTGGGTGGTGGGTGCCTGGGAAGATACTCAGGAGCTCACTCTTACCTCCCCTGCCTACCAGGTCTCTCTGGCCCCTCCCTGGAGGATGGTATAGGCCTCTTCCTGTCTGCTTTTCTGCTCTTGGGGCTCTTCAAGGTACTGGGCTGGGCAGGTGAGTGTGAGTACCACCCGGGCCAGACCCTCCGCTGGCAGGCATTCTCTACCTACTCCCAGAAGCCTGACACCCATTTTTCTCTCCTACCACTCCCCCTGCCCCTCCCC